TGGGGAGCGTTCTTAGTTGGTGTGTTGATGTTTTTGTTTTTAGTTGTGTCGTGTGTTTCTATTCTAGCGTGGCTAGCGAGGCTCTAGGCGGTCATTCGATCCGTCCTCCCAAGTTTTAGTTCCGGGTTGTATTATTCAGCCTGGGCTGTTTTCTTGCAGTTGTACATTTTGATATATAATATCCTCCCTATATATAATTTCCGAATGCGCTGAGCCTACGTGGCTGCTTTTGGTGCTTCGGAATCATATTTGGCGAAGAATCATGCTTCGTAATTAGGTTTGGATAAATAATATTAATATATTAATAATTAATGATCTAGGTTCGGGTATTCCATAAATATTATTTAGCTAACTTAGTTATTTTAATATCACTTTTACTAATATAACTCTTTAAATCTTTGTAATTTTACATAGTGAGGCACTAAGTGACTAATATGTCCCTGAATTTTGATTTGTTTCCTTCAATAAGCTATTGAATTATAAATGTATTTTAAAAGTTGATAACTTTTGTATTTCTTATCGGTTTTACATATATAATATATCAAATTAATCATCTTTTGATGATCTTCGATTTGACATCCATATTGTATATATGAAATAAATAAATTATATTTATCTTTATAATAATAAAAAATAATAATATTTATTAAAATTCATTAGAAAAATAAAATTATTTCTCCATTGATATATTTATATGTAATGTAGTTATATATTGTAAGTTAAAAAAATTAATATAATATAACACAAGTAAGTTGCACAAATAAAAAATGTCATAATAAATATATAATAATATATATATATTCTTATAAAAGGTATTTAAATTTTCAAACTACTTTTTCTCATTAATTTTAGATTTTAATAAAAAAATTAGCAAGCACCCGTGTAATACACGAGTATTGTACTAGTCTCTATCGATTCGAAAAAAAAAAAAATAGATTTGAGTCAAAAACATTTATTTTCTTTCTAGACACCATACATCTCAAAATAGACTTGTGTCATCGGAGACGCGCATAAGATAGAGAGTACTAACCGCGTCCACACACACCCACCGAAAAATCCAACGGTCCATATTGAGCAGAGTATCCCCGCTTGAGAATCCTACAGCTCACATTGAAACACGTCGACGCCTACAAAACGACACAATAGCTAACTGGGTACAGTTTGGTGGGATTTGATAAAAATATCAAGAAAACAATCCTCAGCCACTAATTTTTAGTAGAGAGTATTAATGGCTACTCTGCCCACCGCCACACATCACCGCTGCCTCACCATATTACAGCTTTTGATACGCCAAATCCAAATTCTTATCTAAATCCTTCCCTTGTTCACCGGCCCCTTCATATTTCTGTTCCCCCTTTTCTTGTTCGGTATCCGCTGATGCGCCAGATATTTTTTTCTGGGATAAATTAGACAGAAATCTTGATAAAGGTTGTTTTTTTTCGTTAAATCTGCATCAGGGTTTTAGGTAAAATTGGAAAAAAAATGGTGGGTTTTGTATTTTGAGGTTTTTTTTTTGTGTATGTAGATACATTCGGCATAGAGAGAGATAAAAGAAGATGAAGATCATGTGCGATGTGTGTGAGAAGGCTCCAGCAACAGTGATCTGCTGCGCGGATGAGGCTGCGCTGTGCGCCGCGTGCGATGTTGAAGTTCATGCGGCCAACAAGCTCGCGAGCAAGCACCAGAGACTGCTCCTCAACTGCCTCACGAACAAGCTCCCGCCTTGTGATATTTGCCAGGTATTTTTTATCTTTCGGTTTTTTGTCACTATCGTGTGTTTTGATTGAGGATTAAGACAGTTGGTACCATGTTGTTTTTTGTTTTGGTTATATTTGTTTGTTTTATGCTGAGAGTTTCGGTTGAATGAGCAGAAGCTTTTGATTGATTTAAGAGGAAGTCATGCTGTTGTAACATGAGATGAGAGAAAACTGTGACCTCTAAGGTGATTTGAAAGATTAATTGAGAGCGGTTAGTTGGTGGATTAGTGGGAAAGTAGTAATAAGTATTTGAAGCGCTGATTAAATTGTATTGGCTCGAAAACAATAATAATCGTCCGAGTTACGGAGAATGCTCCCGGAGGTGTTTAGTTTATGTGGCTACTTGGTATGGAAATTGAGGTTGTTTTGATAATACAGGCTGTACTGCTTATGCTCACTCCTGTGTTTTGAGTTATTTAAGGCTCAACTGATCTGAAGGAGTAATGTTAGTGAAAGTTGGGGTCTTTTCATGGGTTTTATTGTTTCTTAAGTAGTATCTGAATTGGTTATTTTTCGGTTAATTTAGATCAACATTTTTAGATGCTGATTTACCTTGTGGTGTCTCTCTTCAAGTTCTGTGCCACATAGTTAACATTTGATCCCATTTTTATAGTTGAAATCGATAAATCTGCAGTTTTATAATTAGATAGTAAATCATGAGGAATGTATCCACCTTACAAGTGGTCCGTTTCTTGATCACAATTGGGGTGCACGTTTTACGACAAAAACAGAATAAAAAGAGCATTTTATTATCTCTGTACTATTAACTTCAATACTTTTGCTGCTGATGTTGCAAGTGTAGGAAAGAACGGCTTTCATATTCTGTGTTGAGGACAGAGCTCTCTTTTGCAAGGACTGTGATGGGCCAATTCATTCGGCCAATAGCCGTGCTGCTAAGCACCAGCGACTTTTAGCCACTGGAATAAGAGTTGCTTTGGGCAACAATTGCAACTCGGATGAGGTTAACAGCAGCAACGTGAATCCCGATCCCCCCAAGTCGAATTTGCAGCACAGTTTTGGATTGAAAAATGCCTCACACCATGTTTCTAGTGGCATCATGTCACCTTCTTGGGCCGTTGATGATTTGCTCCAATTATCTGATTACGAATCCTCGGACAAGGTATTATGAATAGTCGCAGTTAATGAATAACATTTTCCAGATTAATTTCTTGTGATCCAAAAGTAGAAAATGAGAAAGGTCCTGATTTCTGATGAGTTCATGTTCCTTTATCTAATAGCGTATACGTTTAACAACGAGGCATTTATTTAGCTGTTGGAATTTTTTGTTCAGAAGGGGCAGCTCGAGTTTAATGAGTTGGAGTGGTTGAACGAGATGAATCTCTTTGGCGAACAAATTTCAGGGGAGGCTTTAGCTGCAGCAGAAGTACCTCAGCTGCCATTTACTCAAGCCAACAGCCATAACATGCCTTCCCACAAACAAACCAAATTATATCCGGCTCATAAAAAGCCGAGGCTCGAAATCAGGGAGGATGATGATGAAGAGTTCTTTACAGTTCCGGATCTTGGCTGAAATCGTCCGATCTTTATGTGCGAGGGGTGACAGCTTTTGGCACTTAAGAAAACTACAATAACATTTTTATTTTGCACTTGTGAATACAGATGTTTGTAGCAGGTAGTTGTTTGTACCAGGTGAATGATTATGTAATATCTGCATCCTTTTTGATTTTTTGTTCCTGTTTATTTTGGTTCGTTCAAATTTTTTGACTTGATTCAATCAGTTCCATGTGTTTCTTTTTTATCTTTAGCACTTATTTTTTTTCCTTTTTTATTTTTATGTTTTGTGGCACTGTGGCATGGTGATATAACATAGTGGCTTATGGTTTAAATATTGTTTCTTCGATATTTATGCTGGGAGACGACGATGTTGGGGGACAGCCGTTTGCCAATTTCATGTATTTTTTTCTATTTTTAGGAGATTTCTGTTTTGCTTTTTTTTTTTAGGAAATTGGGTTGTTGAGCCGTGTCAAGCGCCGCCTTCCGAAAATAAAATGTTGGGGCTGGGGAAGTCTTTGTTTGCATGATATTTTTCATTTGCTCGTTGGATGCACCTGGAAAAAAAAATGTCCTCAAGATAAAAGGCATTCCTGCAAGCTGACTTTTGACTTTGAGCATTTGTTGAAATGGCTCGACGCGTCTGAGCGCCGGTACGTAAATAGAAAAACTTTTCTATTTACGAGCAACATCATTAATCATTTGATATAGTATTTAAATATGTTACGTTTATCCTTCATCTTTTCTAAAGTTTCAGTGAAAAGAAAAACTTTTCTTCGACTTCATCATTTCATGGAAATTAATTTAGGTGACGAGCATTGAATCTTTTATTTTCATAGCATGTTATATAATTATTTTCTCGACTCCAATATTTTTCCTAATTCTTGTGTGGTTAGATGCAAGAGTTTGGTTGTTCCATTGCCATATTGATTCATAGCTGACTTGGGGACGGTTAAGAATATGAAAGGCGAAATCTTGATCCATTGAGCCGCCGACCGATCAACACTCATGTTAAGGCTTTTTATGAACATGATTTATTTCCAATCTGTTTTATTTTTAAATCTCACTCATAAGAATGAGGTCATGCTACTTTGAGGATTTCATACATATTTTTAAAACTGATCTTGAATATATTCATAACTAACAGATTAAACACTCCTCCTACGGTGAGATAAGTGTTTTTCAAATTCAAAATCCCACGAAATCGGCTTGATTGATTTTCTCATGTTTTTCCTCCTATTTATCAACCTTTTGAATATTACATGCGGAGGTGTGCTGAAGGTTTTAGAAAATGGGCTCTGATGCTATGAGTGAAGAAAAGTGTGTGCAGTATGTGTGAAGGGGTGAAAAAATAAATAAATTGTGCTTTGTATGCGCTTTATGTGGGTGAGAAAATAAAACCGCGTGTAGTGCTTGTGTGAGATTTGAGTGCGTTGTGCATGCTTTGTGAATGTACATGTGTGTTGCGTGAGTAATAATGAAAAACAAGAGTAGTGTGTGTGATGTGAGTGTAAGAAAAAAAAATTAAATAAGTGTTGTTTGTACTTGCAAAAACAAGAAAAGAGAGCAGGGAGGATGAGAAAATACAGAGTGTACTTTGGTGTGTTCTTTCGTGAATATTCCAGGGTTTGCTTTGTGCAAGACTTAGTGCTGCTGAAGTTTTGGGTGCTGATGGTTTGTGCAAGTGAAATTTTTAATTTTTCTTATATGAAAACGGTTGAATAAATTTTGCTTAAATCTATATTATAATAAGTTATATATTAATCTCTAATCTACAGATAAGTTATTACTTAAAATCGCACGTGGTAGTCCTCTATTCATTGCAAAAACAAAAACTGAATTCATAATTAATTGTGTGGAGATAATACAAGATCAATAATATATGGATAATCGAAAAGTTAAAATTGCACGTTGTAGTTTAATTATTAAATTAATATTTAATGGTTTAGAGATAATTATTAATGGTTTAGAGATAATTATTAATGGTCTAGAGATAATATAGGAACAATAATATGTGGATAAGTGATAATTTAAAATCGCATGGGTTAGTTCTTTACTAATGCAAAATCACAAACTGATTCATAATTTACGTAAGAGATAATATTGAACAATAATATCTTGACATCTCATTCTTTAACATTGCACGTGGTAGATAATTTGCATGGTATGAATTAGTTAAGATATATATTGACAACGAAATATCTCATCTTCTTAACTAAATACACTTATCTTATCATCATACATGAGTTTCAATTTATTAAAACTCATATTTTAAAATAATCTAATGTTTATCAACTATTATCCCATGCCTATAAAATTATAGAATGATAGTGCATCACGTATCGCAAAAAAATCTTACTCCCATTTGGACGTAAAGCATTGAAGCACAAAAATGGCAAAAGTCTGGGGAAACATCAAACAAGTAATAAGGACTAACAGGCCAATGATCAAGCTAAGAGTTGTTCGAGTCTTTCAAAGGACTAATGAATACTCATCCTACAAAAACATCATTGAGATTGTCTTTCATGACATTGAGGTATAATTTACAATAAAAGTTAACAATTAAACATTTCTTATCATATAACACTATAATTTACAATATTATATTTTTTTTCAAGGGCGGTCGAATTATTGCAACAATAAGACATCCCTACTTTTATCAATAAATTCGAAGAAGGGGCTGTCTATGCACTTCGAAACTATCAGGTCGAGAGTAACATTGGAATGTACAGATCCACCATTGCCAAATACATGCTTATCTTACATGGTAGAATTGAACACATAAGCTACAAGGGTGACTTTTCAATTTACCGTTTCGACTTTCAAAGGTTCATCACATTGATTGATGTCGAGAAGATCGACGAATCAATCCTATTCGGTAATCGCATTTTCAATTATTTTTATTTTAGTTTTTAAAAATTTTATGATAAATAATAATTTTACTCTAATTTAACACATATTTAGATATCATTGGAATGGTGGTCGAGATAAATCTTGTGCAATTGAAGATAAAGCATAATACTATTTTAAACAACACATTTAAATAACATAATTACAATAAAGCATCCTTAATATTTATCATTGAATAATATAATACTATAATTTTTATACCATGCTAATATACTAACAGAAATACATTTAATGATTAAACACACATGTACATTAACTCAGTCAATCTCTCTACACGAAAAAAAAATCTAAACAACCAAATCAATTAATGAATTATTCAAATCATTGTAACTTATCTTATCATCAAATCACAATTTGAAGTTAGTCAAATGATGTTAAAAAAACATAATAAAAATAATTACACACATGTAGATTTCGTGGTCATTTTTTTAGACCAAAAAAAAAAAATTAACTACTTAACCAATTAATATACTATCGAAATAATTTGAACTTATCTTATCATCAACTCACAGTTTGAAGTTTTTAAAATTCATATTTTAAATTAATCTTATTATTATTATTATTATTATTATTATTATTATTATTATTATTATTATCCCATGCCTGTTAATGAACTTCCCAACGTAGATAACCTATCACAACACATCTTATACACTCTCATTTCACATACCAACAGAAAAATGGCAAGAGCATGGGACAACATCAAACAAATAACAAGGACCAACGACCTATGCTGAAGTTAAGAGTGGTTCGAATTTTTCAAGGAACTAATGAATACTCTTTCTACAAGAACATCCTTGAAATTGTCTTGCATGACATTGATGTATAAATCACAATCAAAATTAATAACTAATCTTTCTCATATTTTACCCTAATTCTTATATTATCTTTTTTTACAGAGAGGTCGAATTTCAAAGAAGAAGTAACAACCTTTTCTATTGTTAGGATGACAGGTGATTAAAATCTGGTATCTATGTACAATCAGTGGGTTATCGAGAAAGAATTAAGTTTAATAAACAAAAACATAATCATGTTGATTTATAAACAATGATTAAATTCAAGAACTTTTAACTTTTTCTATAAAATTTTACAGGAGCCTAACTTCTTGACTTTACTACAACGTGAAGAGCCTAACAACGACAAAGTCAATGTTCATTTTTCACACTTATTATTTTTCTTTAAAATTGTAAATTTATTTCATACAAATAATCATATACAATTTAAATACTAAAATTTTATTTTGCAAATTGTTTCATAGGGTTGCACTGGAGAAGATGAAGTTTCAACACCTTTAAATCTCTCAAATGTAAAGAGAAGGTCGACAACACTTCTAATGCAAGGCAAAGGTGGACGAGCAAATGATGAAATGAAGGACAATTTTGATGAAGAATTGATTTGTTAAGATATTATTGGTTTACTAAAGTATTTTATTATAATATTAGGATTTTATTTGCTTTGAATACTTTCATTGAATAGATTGTCTTCGACAACATGAATAATTTAGGTTTTAATATTGGATTTCAGTTTGTTTGATTTTATATTTGGATATTATTGGTTATTAATGATATTGATTTTTATGGCTAATGTTGTACCACATTTTTTATGTATCTAATTATATTAATATTTAATACATAACACTGGTAATCGAAATAAATGAAATTATAAATAAAAACATTGGAAATTCATTTTTTTTTTCTTTTTTTTTTTAACTTTTTTTTTTATTAATATAGATGTTAAAAGTTAAGTAAATTATAACAAAGATTTATCACTTTATTTTTTTAAATAAAACAAAATCAAACCTATACAATTGAACAAAGAAATTAATTTAATACATATTTTTGTCTTCCAATGTTTAAGTTAATAATATAACCACGCAGAACTAACTGTATAATTTTGTAATAATTAAAATTTTTGAACAACATATACAGTGTATAAACTAAATAATTTATAAAATAATTGTAAATATTAAGCCCCATACATAAAAAATAACAATATTTCTTTATGTTGTAATTTTTTTTCATGGAAGAGTTGATTATGAAATGTAATAATGGAATAAATAATATCAACACCTCACATTACTCAAGTAATTATAAGAAATAAAATTCAAGT